CCCCCCCCCCCCCCCCCCCCCCCCTGAGAAGAGGGGGTGTGGACAGGGCCAAGTTTGGAAAATTTGACACCCTGAAAAAAACGATCGGGATAATTGGGGATAGAGGGGGGGCCCAAGGGCCCCTGGGGGGGGGGGATAAAATGGCCAAAAAATTTTTGGGGGTTTGGGGGAAAAAGAAAAAGAGCCCCCAAATTTTGGGGGGGTTTTTAATGGGGGGGGGAACGGGTTTCCTTTTAAAAAGGGACGCGGGGTAAAGGGTAAAAAGATTCCGGCAACCAAAAAAAGGGTCCCCCCCCCCCCCCCCCCCTTGGACCGATTCCCAAAGCTCGACTATTTTACTCGACATGAAGAAGAGGATGCCAAGCTCAATTAATGATCAGTTTTCGTGCACTGGTGGGTATGCAACTATTACTATTACTACTCCTACGGTAGGTGACGCAAGATACCATACCACTGCTGTCGTTTTGAGTTCGCTTCTGCTTTTTTTTTCCTTCTGTTCCTTTCGTCTGTTTTGTTCTTAGCTTCAACATCGCGTTGCGCTCGCTTCTGTTTTTTTTTTTTTTTTTGCTGCTCCTCCCTTTTTTTTCATATTTTTTCGCCCCTCCTCCTCCGCCAGGTGGATCAGAAGCGGGCCGCGTCGCCGTTTCCCGAGCTGCTCCCCGCGGGGCGCTTCGTCCACTACATCAAGACGCATACCAACCGTTCCTGCTGCATAAGGCACTGGTGAGTCGAGTCGAGTCGAGTCGGCCGTTTATCGTCACGCTCACACCTCACGCAGCAGTAGCAGGAAGGAGAAGACCAGCGGGAGGGGTTGGGTTTTTTCAGCAGTTGTTGTTGTTGTTGTTGTTGTTCCGAATACGGAGCCGGGTAAGGTGAACAGCACAGCCTGCGGATTGAAACGCTGAGTTGGAGGGAGGGTAGACGACACGTTGTTGTTGCAACCAAGGGCTGGGACACAATGCTGTGAATCTTTCTTGCCTGCCGATTACCCCCCCCCCGGTGTATCCCCCCCCGGTGTTTGCCATCGGGGTTGGGTTTTCGTCGCTTGGCAACGACGTTGTAAAACAAGCCGCCCCCCCCGGTGTTTGCCATCGGGGTTTGGGTTTTCGTCGCTTGGCAACGACGTTGTAAAACAAGCCGCCCCCCCGGTGTTTGCCATCGGGGTTTGGGTTTTCGTCGCTTGGCAACGACGTTGTAACAAAAGCCAATTCATTTCGTGAACTCGGCAACCAGGGTACCGTTTTTTTTTTTTTTTACCTCGTTTTTTTTTTGGCGGTAACCATAATGGTGGTCGAGTAGATCATGTTGTGCGGGGTCGAGAAACCTCACTCCGCGCAACGGGGGATGATCGCACCTCGTTGTGTTAAAATGGTCAAGCATCCTCGAGGCAGTTACACAGCGCTTACAACTGTCTCTGGAAGTGAAAGCACCAGAAAATAAATTAAGTCATACGTAGCTGTCATCCGTACGCAAGGAAGTCAGCACAAGATGCCGAACACCCTTAGCAGGATGCAGCTCACCCTTCATGCGACTCGCCAAATACCTCACGGCGCTTCGCGCTTGGTGATGTGAGAGCCTGGTCCGGTGAGAACCCGGCGTGCTCCGTCCCGGCTTTGTAGGGATGCGAGGTCAATGGTCAAACGACTACGGCATGCACGACTATGAGTACACCCCCCCCCCCCCCCCCCCACGATGTTGGCCTTCCAGGGGGGGGGTTTTGACCTT